AAACAAAAAAAAAAAAAAGAAAAAAAACCAAAAAAAAAAAAAAAAAGAAAACAAAAAAAATAAAATAAAAATGGGGTGGAGTTCTAAACAGAGAATTCTCAATGAAGAAACTCAAATGGCTGAAAGACGTTTAAGGAACTGCTCAACATTCTTTTATTTTTAATTTTATTTTTAATTTTTTCATTCAATTATTTATACTCCCTTCCCTCCTTCCAATTCCTTTCTGCTCCCCCACACCCCCTTCTCCTTCTTCCACCCTGCTTGAGAGAGGGCAGGGAACCCTGCCCTATGGGAAGTCCAATGCCCTCCCTCCTACATCCAGGCCTAGGGAGCTGTGCATCCATATAGACTAGGGTCCCAAAAAGCCAGAACATGCCATCAAAGCAAGCCCCAGTGCCTTTATCAATGGCTTCTCAGTCAGCCACAATCGGAGAGTCCGGTATGATCACATGCTCATTCAGACCCCGTCCACCTGGATTTGGCGAGCTCCCATTCTCAACATTCTTTTTTTTTTCTGAGAACATATTTTAATATATCACTAGATACAGCAATGTATACCAAAAGAACTATGATGACTTTAATAAGAAAAACACAGTGAATGTAAACATGATCTCTACCACTTCTAAGGTGTCCGCAACAATTAGACTAACTAGAAATAAACACACACTCTCAATGCCCCACACACATTACAGGTTATATGAGCAGGTGGTTATAAAACACACTGAAAGAATGAACATACCACATTCAACATTCTTAATAATCAGGAAAATGCAAATCAAAACAACTCTGAGATACCATCTTTTACCTGTCAGAATGACTAAGATGAAAAATACTGAGGACAGCTTATGCTAGAGAGGATGTTGGGTCAGGGGAACACTCCTCCACTGCTGATGGGATTGCCATCTTGTACAGTTATTCTGGAAATCAGTTACAATAAGTACCAGGAAGGAAACAGAGGCCATGTCATAGGCTCTCTAAGCTCGGGCTATAGCCCAGAAAGAAAGCTGTGGAAAGTTCATCTTTCAAGCACAACTTTCAAGGAAGTAAGAATTTTATGAGTGAAGCAATGGCAGGGAACTGTTCCGGCAGCTACAAACCACTGATAGAGATTTTAAAGCAGAAAGGAGTTCTCAAGAAGAATGAAGGTTGGTGTTGTTAGGGAAAGCACGGGGCCCATGCCGATTCGTCATAGTGCCGAGGCTTTCTAGTGAGACCCCAGAAAGGCTTAGCCTTGAAGGGAGTGGGAGTGTTGGTTTGCGAGGGGTCAAGACACTTTGGGATCCCATTCTCAGAAAAGCATGTCGGAGCACTTCTCAAGAGTCAGCACCAGTGTTCTGGGAACTAGTAAGATTACTGAGTGCTTCCTAGATGCCTTCCCTTGAGTCTAAAAACAGAAAAGTCTCTGGTGAAGAAAGAGAGGATGGGGAAATGAGTGACAAACAAGAAAGAGAAAGGGGAGATGAGGAGAGGTGTGAGGTAAGGGATACCCATGACCACCCCTTCTCCCTCATGTCATTATGATATGATAATCAATTGCTGAAGTATATGATAAAAAATTATGAGACCCACAGCAATTCAAGAGTGAATCCAAAATAATTATGGAAATGTATAGCAGGAGAACTAAGGCAGCATCTAGACCCTGTCCCACACGCCACCTATTATCCTTGTGAAGAAAGAGCGCCAACCCTCCAGGAGGCTTTGGTTTCATAGCTTGGTTCTCATTGATCCAGTGAGCAGGTCTTTCTCTCTTCATCATTTTCCTACATACAGCCAAGTTACTGCCCCAGTATATGAGCTTACTTTATTTTTCATGACTAGTCTAAAACCAAAGACAGGACTAAATTCCTTCCGAACTTTTCTTGACCTCACCACCTGTATTTGCATAGGCTACATTGTACAAGTAACTTTTAAGGGAAAGCTATTGCCATATTTTTATACTAAGCCTCTTCATTATGTCAGTATCAATAATCTATACTTACATCATCAATTCAGGAAGTTATAGACTACCTTTCCCCAAAACAAAATCCCATTAAGATACCAGTTTTCCCGTTAGTGATTACACTCATCCAAATGGTGCTTAGCGAGGAGGCAGCCAGCACGGTAGGGCACCTGTGCTTGCTCCTCCCTGACACCAGTTTAACTGACCACAAGAGACATTTGAATTACCAGCTATGAATTTCCCAGCCCTGGAAAAGCAAGGCATTTTCCTGAATTACAGAAGCTATATCTCGTGAGCAACACACTCTTGACTAGAGCAGAAAAAAAGTCTGTCCCAAGCAGATATTTATCAGTGGATTGTTGGCCGAGTTGATGGGTGAGTTTGCCATGTGTTTATTTAATAATGTTTAACAACCAAATATGTAATAGGAAGAAACGGTCTGGGATGAAAAATCATTTCTATAGAACTAACATCTGGGCAGATGTTTGAAAGTGGGCCATGGTCTCAAACACTAAGCAAAACACTGACGTTCATGAATACAGGCAAAAGGAAAAGTTGCTAATATATCCAGGCTGGCCAAGAAATGTGGCAGTTCTTCCTGTCACTGGCCAGAGAAAAAACAAACATGCCACTCATCTGAAGGAGGGCCAGAATGACTCAGATGTTTTACAGGACACTTATTTCTTCTTGCTCTAACTCCTACTCTTCTGTACCCAGAACTGCCACATACGCATATGGAAGTCATTGTAAATTTTAGTTTTGTTGGCAACTTTATAAGGTGAGGCCAAGTATCCCAGTCAATGTCAAGGCTGAATTGGGGGGATGTTCTAACACATGCAGAGCTCCCCAAGTGTATAAGCAGGTTTTGCTCAGAGACGAGAGTTGGACACAGATAAATAATATGCCTGCCTAACCACCCCAAGGATCCACATAAGGAAGAGGGGATGGGCTTATTTTCAGCAGCTGCAGGACACAGGATTTTCTTGGGCTAGTTTTCAACCAACTGCTTCACTGTCTTGCACCAGGTAAAATGTCTGAATTTGCCAGGTATTATTATTATAACCTGAAAAGTATAAAGTATGGGCTGAGCTGGGTGGTTTCTTTGACGAGGTTCTCCACTTTCCCCTTCCATGTGTTTATTTTGCCATCTGTAAGTAACAGCATCACTTCCAATCTCATCATTGTGGCTGTCACTTAGAACATTAACCTTCTTTCATGTTTTTTATTTTAAAACCCATTATAATATTAACTATTATTTTATTACATCAAAGTTCTAGAAAACTTTCTAGGATAATGTAACTCCTACTCTAAGGGAAAACCAAGGAAGGCACATACACAAACACTTGCACACGTGCACACACACACACACATCTCATCAGAATGTAGTGTTAAATGCATATGATCAGGCAGGCAAGGAAACCTGCCCTTGAATATCCCCACACTTAAATTAATTTTTAGACTTTAGTTTTCTTTAATTTTGCCAACATCTCTTTTTTCTGTACCAAAACATGCATGAAAACAGTCAATATTTTCTACTCTTAGGCTTGAATAGCCATTAAAACACTTCTAAGTTAAACTTTGGATTTGAGAGGAATTAATAGTATCTAGGACAGTTACACCCTTTTGGCCGGATGTCCATGAGATCAGCAAGCCAGCAAATGCCCTGTCCCACTGTGAACCTGTATGTTCTTTCAAGGGTTGAATGCTTGAGAGTTCAAGCAAACTTCCAAGTAGCCGAAAATCTTTGCATAGAATAGAGGGAAGAAAAACCATTCCAGCTTGTTTTTGTCTTAGGCTTCAGCCCAAGTCTAAGAATATTCTAATGACTTCTGGGAAAGACACCTTCTGGTCTGCAACAGAAAAACAAGTTAACCTACCCCGGCATTTAGACTGGTATATGTCTTCTGGGGTAAATACAAATGACCTACCTGTGGCAGAAAGTAGGAATATCTGCAAATGATTCATGGTGATGTGTCCTTTGTGGCTGTTAAAATGTAGCTTCCGGTCTACCTATAATTGCTGGATGGACAGTCAGCCTAGCCAGAGACATCATTGCTCTGTTCCTGGGCTGGACCATGGAATTTGCCTCTTCCCTGACCTTTGAACTCTTCTGTGGTAAAAGGTCTGCTTTCATTTCTTTTGCATTCAGAGTGCTTAACCGACTTCGTTTCTGCTGCTGGCGCTCGTAAATATCTATTGACTTGGCTTTAAATACAAGGCAGTGGGGTAAGATACTAGTCTCTCCAGTGGTCTCTAAGGTCATAGCTATACATGTGCCTTTAGTCAACTTTCAGAGTGACACTGGAAATAGCCACACCAATGCTAGTATCTCTAGACTAAGTTGCCTGATCCAGAGTCATAGAACCTAAACATTAAGAGACTCTTAAATGCCCCTAAAAAGACTCTCTAGATCCTCTGTATGCATGCCAACTTTTCCAAAATGACAGATGCCATTTCTCTCTAGAAGAAATCCAGCTTTGTATAATAAAATGTATACTCAGGTTCTGAATCAATTTTAACTAGTAGATGACAATTATTTTACTCCCTTCCTTTTCTTATTAGGGAGACATAGGCAAGTAATATAAATATAAAGTGTCTCATGGTGAGCTCTAGTTGCATCCTTTATAAAAAGAAGAATTTAGATTTTTTTAATTAAATCAAGAAAGCTAAATGCATATAGTCTAGCAGTCTGTGCATATAATACATATGTGCCCATAAGATGAGTTGGAAGCAGCATTATTTACTATATCACATTTTCCATTTTTTATTGGGAAAGACTATCTGAAATGTAAACAAAGGACTAATAGAAGTGGTAATGTAATCTAGAAAAATATAAAATATAAGGAGATACTGACAAAGAAAAGAAGGCTAAGCCAGAAAATATCAAGAAGAAATATGGAAACAAAGAAATTTCCTTGGATACACAGACAAATATATTTATTCTTCAGTATCCATAGGATACAGAATTCTCCACAGGTACCGAAGTATACAGGTGTTCAAATGCCTTTAAAAGGCATATGTGCCTTATATGCCCTTCCATGTTCTTTAAACCTTGTCTAGATTACTTACATCTCATAGAATGTAAATGTTACATAAATATTTGTCAGATTGCATCATGGAAGAATGGCAAGAAAAAATATCAAGATGAATAGCATTTTTCCTAGATATTCTCAATCTGCATGTGGTAAGCATAGAACACAGATGGAGGAGCTTTCAAGGCAAAGAACCCAAGACTGCTCTCAATGGCAGTGTTGTTGTAGATTTATTAAAAATGCTGCAGGATCCCTGGTGGCAGTAGGCAGCAGAAATGCTGTAGGTCCCCAAGCGGTGGTAGCAGGCCATGTAGTGGCAGGATAAATTAATATTGTTCTGGACAGCTCAGATTTTATCAATTTACGTAGTCATAAAAGAGAACAATTGTGATCTAGCTTTGTTAGGTTTCTCCAATGTTCTGATAAACACATACTTTTTAACCTGTGAGAAATGAGTTCATACTACAAAAAAAAAAAAAGAACACGTTAATTAAAATAGAAAAAGCACAGAATTACAGTTATTAAAACCTTACCCCTCTCAGGATAATTCAAAATTAAAATTTCATAAAATTCATTATTTTAAATGTTAATTCAAAATAATATTCCAGTTGGTAAATCTGGATATATTTTTTGCTATAGCCCTCATATAGCAATGTTTGTTCTACATTTTATTTCAGCTTTGATATCATGCTTAGTATTTTACAAAATTTGCTTAATAAACTTTACATATTTGAACTGAGCATTTAAGGATGCTTTCAGACTCCACACGATTCCTAATTAAAAATGCAAAAGTGACCCAAAGTGATGCACTGGCTGTCTTCCTTACAATGCTGGAACCTTCTGATATTTGCTAGCATGATTTCTAAAGGTCACACAGGAAGATATAAACCCCAGAAAACAGGAGCAAGAGTCAAAACTGAACCATAAGTTCTTGGAGAAACAGAAAGATGTGCTTTGGAGAACTGTTCTTGTGGGTGAAAATGTGAGAAGCAGCAAACGCAAGCAAGCCCCACTGAATCCTAGAGCCCATACCTGGGTTCCTGTGTCATGGCCATCAACTACAGCTTCTTAATGCAATGCGTTTACAACACAATGTATTTGCATATGTATGTCTGTCTATGTATGTATGTAGTTTTGTGTGCTTATTTAGACACGTATATACTACAACCACCATGTATGCTCTACTCAACTAAAATAGAAAATCTTTTCTATTCACTGACGTTGAGAGGCCACCAAGAGAGTGGGGGGAACACAGGCTTGAGTATCTTCTTATTGGCCTGCATTTCACTGAGAAGCACCAGCTCCCTGACAGCCTTGAAAAGACCCCAGGGGGCAACTCAGGAATAAAAATAGTCTTTTGCATGGAAAGTTCCAGAAACATCTGGAGTGAAAAGAAAACCGGGAACCAGGAAAAGTTTCAGGGCAGTTAGTGGAATTCCCGCGAGAAGGAGAGTAGTTTTCTGAATGTAGAGTGTATCCCAGAGTGAAAAAGAAATACATGATATTGAGAGAAATTGCTCAGTGTCAGTCAGAGAATCAGAGAATAAGGTGGGAAACATTTCCACCAGCGTCTAAATTGTCGCTGGATTTTCAGGGACTTACCCATGCTGCCCAGGCATACAGGGAAAATTTCAGCCCCATCCTTAGAAAGTTCCAATTAGAAGGACTTAGCCTCCTTAAGGCCATCTGAAAAGATGCTGTGGACTTCTTACCTAATGTCTCCCAATCTTTGGACTACAGCAGTCCCATTCCTCTGAGGAGTGACTATAGGCTTCTCCACTTCTATGTTTATGGAGGTCTCACAAGAACATCACAAGAACACGGATGTAAGTCTTATGGTGCATGAACCTTCTGCGACAATTCTATTCCTCTCTCTGCCATTCTCCCAGGAACCCCAGTCTTTAATTGCATGGTCAGTCTCTTACAAATCTGAACTCTCAGTAATGGCAACCAGAAACTAGATTCCAGATTCATCTGAAAGACATCAGCTTAATGCAGTTCTGGAACTCATGATTCCTTTTGTTCTCTGACCAATAAAATGAGACACAAATGTGATAGTGTTCTGTTTACAGTAGAACATTCTCTGTAACTGTTTTAATATTCATATTATACAGAGAGCATTGTTTCATCAGCTTGTGTTATTATTTAAACTATGTAGTGAAGCATTTATATAATTATTCTTTATCAATGAAAACTCAGGAGTCAGATATCTTGGTAAGGACCTGAATAATCAGAGAAGCGGAAGAGAAGTGACCCATGACCTCCTCTCTTTTTTGTTCCTCAATTCCAAAAGCCTGAGACCCTCTCCTAGCCCTCCCTATTACTTCCAGTGTCTCTCTTTCTATCCTCAGTCTTCCAGAATCTCTATGGTTAATTTTGGTCAGCTATTAGCTTGCTCCACCCTCTGCCTCTGATTCAAAGCGAATTGTATTGGCAGTCTTGTGTACTCGAGAATGTGATCAAAATATTCCACAATTTGAATTCAGTGAGCATGTTTTAAAGGTTCACGAACAGCTCCTGTTATTTATTCATCATATTCATAAAGTTACCGCTACTAAAATGGCAAAGCAATATGGAATGTATTTAATATGGAGGTGATAAAACCAAAGATTGATTGACATGGTGCTCACCGCAGAAGTCTGATGACCTGAGTTTGATCCCTGGAATCCACTAAGGAAGGAGAAAATCAACTCCCAAATGTTGTTCTCTGACCTTCACACATACATTCTGGAACCTACACATCTGCACTTACATACATGCACCACACACAGAAAAAAAAAGAAAGAAAGAAGAAAGAAAGGAAGACATTCAAAGAAAAGCATCGTTCCTGCCAGAAACAACAACAACAACAAAAATCCATGAATGCAAGAGCAGTGTTTTCTTCTGACATTCTAATTAGCAGCATCGACTGAAATTATGTGACATGCATTTAGTACTCAGTATTTGTCAGGTAAGCAAAAGAGCAGGACAGATGGACAGGTGAACAGACAAATGCAGGAAATGAACCGGCTGCGCCCTCGCTGGTTCCTCTCATGGTAGATTTGAGTACTAAAATCTGCCTCTCACTCCCATGACGGCTTCATGAAGAGAACGATTTCAGCTGTTGTCTGCAATGCATTTTGAGGCTGTAACTAGAGAATCAATGGAACAATTATAATCCACTAAATGCTAATAAAATGTATCCAGGCAGGGACTCATAACCTTGGAGTTGAAGAGAAGGGAAGGAATTGTTGGGCCAAGAGGCAAAATTATCTTGTTTGAATGATTTGAATTCCGCGAAACACAAGGTCACATATGGCCAATTTAATTCTTTCTACTCATAAAGACGCCTAAATCAAAACAACTAAATTGAACCCTAAATTCACAGCTCTTCTCCCTGGAGTTTCTTGCTCAGAAGTGCACAGATTTCAGTGACCCATACTTTATGGCAAACTCCAGTCTTGGCCCAGTAGTGTTCCTCGGTTAGTTTAAGAGCTTTCCATCTGTGATATAACAGTTCTGTTGTTGGCAGTGCTCGATGACATCACAGTCATAAAACTCTGCAACAAGAAGAAGATTGTTTTGGTGTCAAAGTGAGAATTCTGCTGTGGCCAGCATCACACCATCTTGTGTTCTTTGTTGAAGCTCAACATTAGGGCTGTGTTGACTGCTGCCTGCTGCAGGCTATCACTGAGGTTGGTGGCCACTCATTCTTCACAGATGCTTCCACCAGTGGTACAGAGTTTGTCCTTGATACTTGCCTCCAGCATTCGCCTCTACTCCGGCCTTTAGAGTCTATAAATTAGCCACATATATGAAAGTCTTTGATGAGTATCTATGAAGAAAAAAACATATAAAACTTTACCCCAGAAATGTGTCCCTTTAGATACAAGAGCAATTGCCACTTCATTAGGCTAAATAACATTTCAACACTATAGAAAAAGCACCTCATCTCTGTATGGAAACGTGGAGCCTGGCAGCTACATGGGCTGGTATCACTTGGTCCCAGTGATACCATCTCTATATGGC